TTTAGGCAATGTTTCTAAGTTTGGATTTTATTAGACACAATAAGAGCAGATATTTCTACATAAATATTTGATATTTTGTAGAATAATATGATAAAATGTAGGCAAAAGTGGCGAAAAAGGCACACACCAACCCGTACAATAGATATAAGATAGTTCAATAAGAAATAATTTAAGAATTGCTGTGATAAAAGGATTTTCCACTGATTTCGTTATGGAACGTTATATTGCAAAACATGGCGTGATAAAGAAGAAAATCAATTTTAAAATCAGAAAATAACATTGCAAATACTTATTTTGTAGAATTCAACTCCCAATAAATATGTGTTATTGAAATACAATTTAAAAATGAACAGCTGTTTCATTAAAAAGTATTATTCTCATGGCCAAAATGTAAACAACTCTGTGGAGGGATCTTTTAAGGCTTCTGGGGCAGAGTCCTAAGGGATTTTGCTTAGTTTTTCTTTTGATAACTCATTTACAGACCAAGACCTTTCTTTGGACACCTCTACCAAGTTTCTACGCCCAACCGTTCCCTCAAATTAGTAGGGACAAAGTTTCCAATCAAATATTTAGATTCCCCCATGTTAATCTTATGGGAGAAACTCCAAATTTGATGGCCTGTGGGGCAAAGCCCGAGGATTTTTACTACATGAATTGGTGAAAGGGGGCGTCTACACAAAAAATACTTTATTTTGACACGTCGTTTGTAAAAATCCGTCCATTATTAACGGAGGAGTAGTGTTTTCTAGAAATCGCCTTCACGTATTATATATAAGGATATAAGGATAGGTTTCATGTTACTAAATGTTTGGCATTTATATATTCATTTATTATGATTGTTATGTTAACTATAGCCTACTAAAACCACATTCTCCTTCAACTACTAGGCAAAAAACAGGTCTTCTGTATATTTAATTTTTGGTTGTTCAATTTAAAGTTTAGTTAAAAATTTTAATTGGTGTTAATGTTATTATGCCTTATAAAGTGTCTATAGAATGGTCACCAAATAAAGTACAGAACTCACATTTAAGGGATTTAATAATCTCTGCCTTGGTAAAATAAATTAAAACATATTAAACAAACAGATAGAACGTATCAAAAATAATTACTCAGTTAGTCATAGTAAATTGCAACTATCAAATGGCGAAAAGAATGCTCTTCTAATTGTATATCTATAGTTTAAGCACTACAGTTGTGTAGCCTACCTATGTGGATAAACAATGCTATTACTCTTTTAGTTTACGTAATTTTTAGCTTAGTATGGATAAACTTTTATTTAACTAACGATTCATAAAAACTATTTTACTATATATGACATTTGCACGGCTTTCTAAATTTACTTTTCGAGCAACCCAAAAAAACCACTGTAGGTTGATTCGGTTAAGAAAGTGGGAAACAATAATTGCGCAACAATGATTGCAGCATATAGTACAGGTAAAATAATACAAAAACTCTCCATATAAACAACAAAATTCGTACATTCATGAAATTTCACCTGTGAGTTACTAATAATATGAGAAATGAAGATCCGATGAGTCCCCAAAATTTTGGGCGTCCTAAGGCCCTTTTTGGGGCCCTTTTTGATCCGAAGGGCCCTTGCTCCTGAATAGTTTTGTTTTTACGTTTAAGGTCGAGTGAGGTGTGGTTTTCAATGGTTTTAGTTATTTTAAATCGATTGGGAGTAGTTTTAAGTGTATTAAACCACACCATACAGGGTGTTTCGAAATATTATTACTTTTTACGATATTTAAACATTTATTCATAAAGTAATAAAATTAGTTACCTCCATGCTCTATATAAAAGGGGATTATTGAAAATAACTGTAATTCTTTACTATATAAGAGGGAAGGATCACAAGGAGTAAGAGAACATATTAAATACCCCCGTCACAACAAACCTGCAGACTAAGTGAATTTTCATTTGCCCGATTTTCAATTAAATCTAAAATAGCATTGAGTTTAATGAATACTTAGGTTTGCTGCTACAAGGAGGCTAATAAAGTGTGTTTATAGTAAAATAATAATAGCCTAGTATAAAACAAATAAATTTGACAAGTTTTATTAAGACATACCTATAAACAAACAAACAAAATCATTTTACACTATTCTCCATAAGAATAACATGGAATTTTAAATTTATAATTTTTGAATTTTATTTGTAACTAATACACTTAAAAAACGCGTCAATATACTAAATTATTTGTTTTCTTTAAGCTCTTTAAAATGCTCTGGAGAAAAATTGGGAAACTATGTCTTTTGAGGGTCAAAGATTACAAATTTTTACCACATAAAACCCTGTTCCATGAACCGATTATGCCGGTTTCGTTAAAATTGAACCAAAATTACTCGAGTTATCATGTTTATGGACACGTATATAACATGGATATATTATATTATATATATATATATGTATATAAACAAATATATAATATTTTGAGTGGATGGTGCTTTAGGCTTCTGGATCTATGTTTTACCATAAGACCTTCGTTAATAGCTTATCTCATATATGGGATGTTCGCTAAAAGGGGATGGATCAAGTTTTACACTATAACATAATAACATAGGTTACTAAGCAAAAATTTCAACTTTTTAGGTGGTGTGAATAGTCTTTCAACGTGTTTTTTATGCAAATCTATTAAGACCAATTTAAAATTGATATGTAATTTTCTTAGGTAGTTATTTAAGTTATTTTTTACATTTATTAAAAATTAAAACAATTGTATTTGTATAAAACCTAACATTACATATTAAAATGAACTACTTAAACTAAAGCTATTTTTCTACAATTTCCGTAGTATCTCTCTTTACAATTTCATCATCACAATAATTATTCTCAGACGACTCATTAACAATTTTATTATTCTTAGCAACTTGTCCATCCTTACTGATTTTATCCAAGTTGGTGTTCAAGCAGGATTCCCCTTTACAAACCTAAAACCTTGCATATTGCAGAACAGGCAATACCATTCTTAAAGCACGAACAATGTGGTGCAAAAACACCGTTCATACATACTGACGTTTGCAACTTGTATCTTAAGTTCCTCAAACTTATTTTCAATCAATACAAGTACGGTTATCTTTCGTGATTATGACGACCAGGAAAGCACTAAGACATCAGAGCAGCATTGTCGGTACAAGCATTTTTGTCCTGAACAATGGGAACGAGGTTTATGGGGTAAAAATTGGGTTTTCTTATTTACTTAACCCTCAAACCACAAAGTTTCCCAATTTTTCTCTAGAACATTTTAAGTAGCTTAAACACAAATAATTTAGTATGTTAAAGTATTTTTGTATGGTTATTAGTTACGGATAAAAATACTAAAATTGTAAATTTAAAATTATCATGGTTCTTATGTAGAATAGTGTAAAATGATTTGGTTTGTTTGTTAATTGATAGGCCTATATTTTGATCAAACTTGTCAAATTTATTTGTTTTATACTAGGCTATAATAATTTAATATAAACACACTTTATTAGCCTCCTTGTAGCAGCAAACCTAGGTAATCGTTAAACGCAATGCTATTTTAGATTTATTTGAAAATCAAGTAACTAAAACAGAAACTCGCTAGGTATGCAGGTTTGCTGTGATGGGGGTATTTAATATTTTATCTTACTACTTGTGATCCTTTCCCCTTACGTAGTAGAGAATTACAATTATATTCAATAATCCCCTTTTATATAGAGCATGGAGGTAACTAATTTTATTACTTTATGAATAAATGTTTAAATATCGTAAAAAGTAATAATATTTCGAAACACCCTGTATGGTGTGGTTTAATACACTTAAAACTACTCCCAATCGATTTAAAATAACTAAAACCATTGAAAACCACACCTCACTCGACCTTAAACGTAAAAACAAAATTATTCAGGAACAAGGGCCCTTCGGAACAAAAAGGGCCTTAGGACGCCCAAAATTGTGGGGACTCATCGGATCTTCATTTCTCATATCATTAGTAACTCACAGGTGAAATTTCATGAATGTACAAATTTTGTTGTTTATAAAACCCTATTTTACCTGTACTAATAATTTTAAACATCTAGTACATTGCTTAAATATATAGTAGTGTTGTAATAATTATGATTTATTTGAATTATTATCCTTATTAGGACGGAGATGTCCGTTCGCTCTATCGACGACGTTGATATAGATGCATAACTGATATGCATATTCATTTTACAAAATTAGTACAAAGTATGTTTTTTTTTTGTTTCATTCAAGGATAGGTATATATTTTAACAGAATATTTTTACAATGAGATTGTTCAAAAAAGTTCATTTTTACTAAAGATACAATTTTGTTAGAATTTAGGTGACATCCAATCAAGAATTATACTAAAATAGTTATTGGGTATAAATCTGAATTTTTGGAGGACTACTTTCCCACCTATTACTATTAAGTATAGCCTACTAATTATCTTTACCATATGATTGGTTAATATATCTACATTAGTTAAATTCGTAACCATTACTCAACGACTTCTTAAATTCAGTAACGAAATAACACTATTCAATGTTCGCAATATATGCTTTATTTTATCTTCCCTGGGTATACAGTTAGTTTACATCCCTACACGAATTAATGGTACCGTAGTCCAATAACATTTATGGGTTGGTCACAAAATTGCTCTATTGAGAGTACATGACATTTTTTGTGTCCTAGGATGTTAGGCACGAGCCCGAGATTGTTTTTCACATTACTTTCAGCTAGACCTAGGTGTTGCGGCATTATCACTTCGATAAAATCCATTTGTGATTTGGTGGGATTTGAATCCGGGACCTCGGGGACCGAAGTCCCGCGCTCTAACCACTAGACCAGCTCGCTTCCCTCTCCTATATAGTACATGACATAATATTACGATTGGTTTAATTTTAATTCATTTTTCAACAACCATGCAATTAATTACAACATACAATCTCTTAAAAATATTCTCTGTGCAAAGTCCTATAAAGAAAAAAAAACTTAGGCTACAAAACATTCAAGTTAAATGTGTAACTCACCGGTAACCAATGAAGTTCTGGAGTGAAAGTTTGCCCGACAGTTCGTACACGAGTCAACCACTGCACTGCCTACCTACCACAACCAGTCTACCCGTCTACCACTTCCACTTCCACTAACTCAGCTGCACCGGGCGACCTCTAGGACAGTACCGTTTTTGCCCATCAGACAGCACTACATTCACCTTGTATGTCGAGTGGAGTAAAAAGTAATTTGGGTAAAAAGTCGAATTTCGGATCAAGCAAGGTCAAAAGTATTCGATTGTCTTTCTTCCGCTTTAAAAACTAGGGATATTGATGTGGTTCATGTGATTTTTTCGTCTAATGTGTGATTATTGTTATTAGAGATGTTTTTTTATTGGGTGTTTATCAAATTCCAACACATGGAACCACGTTGAAACCAGTTTTTACGTGAACTTCTTACTTAAGTATTTATCTATTTATAATAATCTACAGTAAAAACACTAATGGTTATGCTCTAGTATCCTTCCCGTTTGTATTTAAATATAGTGAGGTAGTCTTTAATAAACGTTTAGTTATGTGAGTTTACTTTATCTTAGCCTATTTTGAAAGTAGACAACTAATTCGTATGAACAAACTAAAGTAAGTTTTTTACGTTTTTCGAGGAACTTAAATAGTTGAATGAACCTCACATTCAGTGTACAGTTATTAAATTTGTACTCCCTCTATTAATTTTTCATACGACGATAGTGAATAGGATATACAATATAGTATGGGTTACAATAATTTGCTTTACATATTGGTATTTTTCAAAAGTTAGTACCAAAAAAATTAAAGTAGTATTTTACAACAGCACAATTTTTTGTACAAAACACGTTCTGTCGTACTAGACGTGGCTACAATTTGGTTGTGGTTTGCTTAACGTTAAGGTATCTATAGTCAACAATTATAAAAAAAACTGGCCTGGAAAAGTAGACATAACAATATTATCAGCGATTTAGGCTACATATTACTACGTCACAGTGATGTCAGCTCTGCTCAGGGTGTAAAATGTCAGGGTGTCAAATTCCGGCGACCCACAGTGCTGCATTGTTGGGGTAGACTTTCGCATCTGTTGGCACAAACAATCGAATGAAACTATCGATTATTCGATTGTTTCATTCGATATATTGAATCCAAACGAAATATTGAAAATATTTTTATATTGAATATTTTTTATATTCAATATAAAAAATATTTTTATATTTTTTGAATATTTTTTATATTGAAAATATTGAAAATATTGAAATATTGAAAATATATTTGACCAAACGAAATATTGAAAAATCGATATGCCGATAGATATTTTCATTCGGTTGTTTGTGCCAACAGATACGGAAGTCTACCCCATTGTTGTCAGCTGGTAATAATGCTCAAATAGTTGATTGGCAATCTTCCAACACACGTGTACTGAAAGGTAAATACATAGTTCAATGTTGTCGCCCTCCTCCAACCCTTACTAATTAAGACACACACCACGCCTGAGGGTGTTTGTCTAATTTTAACCGCGAAAGTTCCACCTAAAGGCACTTACGAAGCATTGAGAATTTTGTTTGAAGATTCCTGTGCGTTTTACATACAAGACAATATTTAGGACTATTTTTTATGATAAACTGCAATAAATTATGCCTTAAGCAGTTTTGTGGATCTTAAATGAGTGTTAAACAATCAAATGTGAATTTCGTTAGAAAAATATATAGACTCATACATTATCGGTATTTAATGGTTGGTGATATGTTAATTTATTCTTATTAGTTATTTGATATTGTATTATATTTCACTATCAGTGTAGCCTACGGTATTTATTTTTTAAGTTCATCCTTCCTTCTTGAAGCTGCATTCATGGTTCTAGCCTGATGAAACCTGGCTTTTACTATGTAAATTTAGCAATCATCAAGGGGAGAACCATCAAAAGGTCGTCATAAATATTTTGGGTGATTTACATTGTGACATTTTGTCTTAAGGTTTCAATGCAAAGGTTTGATTAAATAGATTTTGAACAGATTTACCTTAGATTTATACAGAAATCTGTTCAAAAAAACTGTAAAAATATATTCAAAAATATAAAATCTACATTTTACGTAGACCCATAAAAATTACTCATTTTTCATTTACTTGAACCTATCTAGATGTTATACACCTATCCAATACCAATATCTTGTATCAACAAACCACTAGCAATCTCTGGGGTCCGTTCCTACAAAGCTGCCAATCATCAAGGTCAATATTCAATCTCAATAAATCTCCTTTCTCCTTTCCAAGACGTTTTTCAATTTTCCAAGATAACATCAAAAGCTCAAGGCTGGGCAAATACATCTAGAATCACTCCCTATATTTATTTGTGAGTCACTGAAAGTTTGGTGTTAATTTAGTGTCACCTGCTAATCACCAAATGTTTGTACACCGCTGATGGTGGTGATAATCGTCGAAGTGGCTGACGGTTTATATTTGTACCTGGGTTTTAGTCTGTTGCTGTCCTCTGACTCATTCTAAATACATTAGTGTTTTTATGCCCCGCAGTTCCATCCAAGGGAACTAGGTTCTATCCCGGAGCCGTTTTGTACGTTACTCTAGAGCTAGAGGGTCATGACAACATACAATAACCACTTAGCTACTTTGTTGTTTGTTTCTACTGACGCAGTAAACTAGTAATTTTACATTGGTTACACCGTATTTGCATCCAAATCACTGCAATCAAACTCCAAGTTCTATGCGTTAATTAATTCGCAACCATTATAAACTACTGTATTACTATTTTATTTTCCTAGCCGTGCTAGACACTAACAATTGACCAAGGCTATTAATTTGAAGAAAAACTGGTACAATGTAAAGTTAAAAGCCCACTAATTATCATGTGACCTTTAAATAAAATTGCATAACCAAAGAATACAATTTAACAGTAATTGGTCTCTTGTTAGCTGTAGGGTGACCTTCTCTTGCACCAATTACCAATCATCAGAGTTTTGCATTATTTATAAACAAACTTTCCATGAATATTGCTATGTTAAATCTCTTAATATTTGCATACACGTGGTCAACGTGAAGATTTTGAATTTTCCGTGGGTGAATAGTATAATAGTTAAGGTGTTTTTGCAAACTTCTTGGGTTTTACTAACACTTTAATAGTATATGTACTTTATAATGTACTTCCTTCGCACCCTAGGACGCTACAATTTAATTTATGCTAGACCTAAAGGATCGTGCTACAGTATTATCACACAGCTAAAGCCGTTGAAATTGAGGGGATTTAAATCCGAGACCTTGGCGACCGAAATCCTGCTTCCAACCCTAGACCAGCTTGCGCGTCTCTTATAAAAAATATAGAGGTGTACATTAAAACTCGTAAAATTAGCTGAGCAAATAATAAGGGGTTAATAAAATGTTTACACTAAATGAAACTATATTTTTTAATGTAATTATATGTAAGCCGAGCAATATCTTTCGTAACATTTACGAACCATTATTAATCATACGAAACGATGACATCGCGTTGAATGATAACTGATTGAAAAGACGCATATGGGTTGCATGTTTAACATATAATTATAAACGTGTATCTTGATGATCTATTCAACCTGTAACATTCGGCTTCATTTATAGTTTAACACCGGTGTGGCAGTGCTTATGCAATGTGATGCAATTTACTGTGCTATAATTTTGCTTCTTGTATCTGACTTGAAAATTTATCTTTGGTGGTTAACTTATGCAAAATAATTGTTACTTACATTGTTAGTTTTGTGCAACACTAACAAAGTATAAAATTATTTCATGCATCTTAGTGGCAAATGAGTTAAGTTTCTATTCTTATTGAAGATAATTTTTAAATATTTCACGCGGATGAATTTAAGTAAAACGTCAGACTTCGTTAAAACGATAATTTACCCGTGGAATTGCAAATGATGTCGTTTGTTTGATCAAAACCCTTCAATTTGTTTTAACCAAATCAGCAGCGACAAGAAGACAAGAAGTTGGAGACGAGATTATTCAATTCGGCTCCGTTTTATCACTGGTTATTCCTAACTTTCTGTTTGGGCTGACAGGGATCTGTTTTTATTGAATAAAACTACTTATCAGTCTTCAGCTAAATCTAATTAAACTTAAGTTGTCATTAATTAGCCTATCATATAAGCTACCTAAAGGCACTTTGTTCTGAGAGGTAAAAATTGTTCAGAGTTGTTAAAAATTGTATTACTTTCATTTAATTATCATTAACATATTTGCTCTTTAGCTGCTGTTACCACTACAAAACTGTATTTTTATATTCTCATTTAAAATTTATAATTTAAATGTAGTTTGATAAAATAAGTCTGTAAATTATGTTTTTCCCCAATTAACAAAACGTTAAACATATTAAATCAATATTTTTCCATTATATATAGGTAAATACTTTTTTTCAAAAGTCCATCTCTAGACACAAATGATGTGTCTAGGGGTCTGGTCTCATCTGTGACGCTTTCTCCTGTTTCTGAGGCTGATGTGTCATTGATCATTTGAAACCGAAGACTAGCTGCCACATCGGTGAAATGTGTGTGTCACTCACAAGTTGAAACCATTGGCGAAATTTTTTAACCTTTCTTTGGAAAATAGAGTCTTTCCGACCAAACTTAAGCTGGAAAATGTGCTTCATATCTTCAAAGATGATGATCCTGCCTCTGTCAGCAATTACAGGCTGATTTCAATTTGCCTATTCTTAAGTCTTTAAGAAACGTTGCCTGGAAATACTTATGATGAACTCTCTTGAACGTTTTGACGTCCTCTCATCAAATCAGCTCGGTATCAGGAAAGAAAAATCCAAATTTGATTAATAACTCACCAATCTCATTTAAAAAATAGTGTCGATGGCCTCGAAAGGTGACAACATGTGCTCTGCATATTCCTCGACCTCTTAAAAGGTATTCAATGTGTTCATCATGAGATACTGTTGCACCAATTAGAGACGTGTGGTATTTGTGGAGTTCCGCACAAGTGGATGACTTCTTATCTTCCGTACTCAGTACAAGTCTATGGGATCTATCTATATATTAATAGGCAAGCATGTTTCTTTAAAACCTTTTTTCTCAGCTTGTGTGAATCGTAGGGAAAATCTACGCATACCGTTGGAAAGCTATTT